CCATGGCCCATGCTCCGGAGGATGGCTGCACTGACTGTGCCCCAGCCATAGTAGATGGCTGAAATGGCTGTGGCCCAGCCATCTTACCCAAGATGGCTGCGATATTTACAGCCAGCTCAGCCATGAGGGCCCGCCCCGGGGCGTGCGGTATGGCTACAGCAGCGAGCTTCCAGCCATCCCTACTCAGGATGGCTGCCATGTGTGTATTGCAGCCATCGGCCTGGAGGCTATGGCTGCACTGCAGCTAGCTCAGCCATCCTTAGGTAAGACCTCAGCAAGATCGCGGACGGCGTGCCAGACCTCTCCAAGATGGACCGCAACGAGGGCCTCGACGACGCCGCGCTGCAGGCGAACGCCAAGTACCACGCGCGGCGCAGCACCGGCCGGCCACTGGCCACTCGCTTCGGGGGCTCGTCGCACTACGACCTCTGGTCGCCCAAGGGTGTGGTAGGCGTCGATGGGCACCGCTACGCACTCATGGTCGTCGACGAGCACACCAGCACCATCACGCCGTACATCCTGCAGACCAAGGGCCAGACGCCTGCCTACCTGCGCAAGTACTTCGCCGAAAACGAGGGAAAGGACGGCCACACGTTCCGCGGAGGAGTTGCGTTCTGCGACAACGAGGTCGTCCTCAACTCCAGCGCCGTGCGCGAGCTCTGCCTCAAGTACGGCATCACCCTCCGCAACAGCTGCCCCTACGAGCCGTGGCAGAATGGGGCGTGCGAGCGTTCGGCTGCGGCGGCCGCATCCCCATCGTCGTCGGTCTACCGCAACACCACGGACCAGTGCGTCGCGTACATGTCGAGCGTGGACGGCCAGGTCATGCCCATGCCGGACAACATCGTGCCCAAGCACTACAAGGACATCGCCAACATCAGCGACCCCAAGCTGCGCGACATGTGGTACAAGGCGTATGACACCGAGTTCCTCGGCCTCATCCAGAACGGCACGCTCAAGCCCATGCGTCGCCCCGCCAAGGTGCGCGTCCTCCCGCTGAAGGAGATCGCCTCCCAGAAGTCCGACGGCCGGTGCAAGTGGCGCGGCTGTGTCATGGGCAACCTGATGCGGCCCGGCGTCGACTTCACCAAGACCTTCGCGAGCGTCGTCCGCTACGGCACGACCCGCACCGTGCTCAACGTGGCCGCGCAGGAGGACATGGAGCTCATCACGTGCGACCAGCCCATGGCGTACACCTGGGCGGAGCGCGGGGAGGGCGAGACCTGGTACTGCGAGATGCCGAAGGGGCTCAAGGGCAAGCCCGAGTACTGCTACATCGACCCCATCACCGGCGAGGAGAAGGACATGGTGTGCGAGGTCGGCAACCTCTACGGCGCACCGTCCGCAGGTAACGCTTGGTGGAACAAGGTCAAGTCCATCAACAAGGCGTTTCCTGGGCTCGTTCAGTCCGAGGCGGACCCGAGCTGCTTCATCCTCACCCGCAACAACACGAAACTCATCGTCGTCATCTACGTGGACGACTTCGGCATCTTCCACTGTGAAGGTCTTCAGTGACCACTCACAAGCTGTTCCAAGGCCTGACAGAAATGTACTGTCAAAACTTTGTTCAAACAAAAGTCCTGGCCCGCGGCCCCCACACCCACAATGACGCTGACGAGAGGCATGGCGAGTCCGGGCGCGTACAGCGCGTTCACCCACTCGGTGTTCACAACCTTCGTGTCCTGCGGCTTGGTCGGGTCAGCCAGCGCGAAGGCGTACGCGGTGCCGACGCCCTTCGCCTTGAGGTAGTCGTTGTTTGCGCAGCGGATGTAGATGGGCTTCTCGGGCTCGCGCCACCCGTGAGGGAAGAAGTCGGGCGTCGGGAACATGTTCATGCCGGCCTTGGAGTCGACGCCAGCAGCATATGATCCCGGCATGTTCACACCGGCGGTCGTGTCGTACGCGTCGACGACCTTGACATGCCCGACAAGCGCGTGTGCCTGCATCGCGTCCATGCGCGCCACGTACATGGCGAGCATGATGCATGTGTACGAGAGGACGAGCGGGACCGTCTTGGGCACGTCGATGTCATTCACCGCGCGGAACATGTCGCCCGCGACTTTGCGGTAGATCGGCTGGAGCGGGTCCTCCTCGATGGCGTACTCTGCTCCGCCACCTGAGTCAATCGCCGGCCCGGTGGACAGCTCGAGGGGTAGTGCGGTGACGGACTCGACCATCACGCCCATGTTCGAGGGCTCGTCCACGGCGTCGGCCACAGGCGTGCCGATCGAGGCAGGCGAGCCCATGTAGACCGGGATGAGGCACGCGAGCAGGACGAGTAGGATGGAAGCGCCGATGTACGGGCGAGGCAGCGCGGTGACGAACGAGGTGAACTTGACCCACAGCCCGCCGCGCGCCCGTGCCTCCGCCGCATTGCGCGCCGCCGTCTTGGCCTTGAGGATGGCGGGCGTGTCGGTGGGGTTGGAGTCGGGGAAGGTGTCCTTGTGAAGGTCTTCAGTGACCACTCACAAGCTGTTCCAAAGCCTGACAGAAATGTACTGTCAAAACTTTGTTCAAACAAAAGTCCTGGCCCGCGGCCCCCACACCCACAATGACTATCAATCCAGGCTGCGGGTGAAGGGCAAAACCGCGCCGCTGCAGAACGGTTTTTGCAAAACCGCGCCGCAGCGGTACGAAACTGCGCAGGTGCATGTCCCTGAGTGGTAAGGACACTATGTGTGTGTGTGTGGCCGTCGACTAGACGGCTGCGCGGTCGTCGGTCTTCAACAGCCCCCCATCCTCGCATCGGGTAGCGAGGCTGAGGATCTGAAGAAGCTAGACGACTCCTACATCTCCTACTATCGCGCGCACAATTGCGCAGCCTCCTCAAGGGCGGAGGACGAACATACAAGTGACTCGGGGAGCTCCAGGAGCGCCCATACTGCCGGTTGTCGACTACATTTGATGAAGGGGAAGTCGGCGTTTCCCCTCTGTGCCGTCCTAGGCGGTGTCGTTCATGATCTCCTTGCGGAACGACTCGAACTCCTTGCGCGGGAGCGGCTTGGTGAAGAAGTCGGCGAAGTTCTTGAGGCTCTCGACGTACTCGACCTTGACCTCCCCGGACTCGACGAGCTCGCGAATCTTGAGCTCCTTGCGCAGGATGTGCTTCGTCTTGTCGTGCATGACCGGGTCCTCGGCG